GCTGTATCGCCGACATGGAAGCCTGTCTGCTCCTCGCAGCAGCTCGCAGCAGCTGGGAGCAGCAGCTCTCAACGTCTCAAGGAGCTCCAACAAGCCGTTTAGGACAGAGAGTGAATACCGGTGAATACACATACTTTACAGAGATGCTGCATGAGAAACCAATGTGAGTTTGGAAAATTGCACGGTATAAATCTATTTTAGTAGACCTCAACATGGGAATTATGATCAGTAGAAATGGCCATGAAATGGGATCTTTAAAATCTAACTCCTTCAGCCTACTTTCAGCTGCAGAAACCATTCAACTATTACATTATTCAACTGTTTCAGGACATTGAGGCTCTACATTTAGTTGTTTATACCTTTTTAAAACATTTTCTTTTAAATATTAAGTTCTTCTTCTATTTTTCCTACTCTTCCAGTTTAACATATCACTTTCAAGTTTCTAAGAAAGTTATTGCAATGCATTTGAGCTTTAACAATTTTGATTGAAATCATTTCACTTTTCTGCATTTCTCCGCTAAGTTCAGCCAGACACTTACTTGGTTTTTGTTGCTAAAAGGAGCTACAGAGACCATTCAACTAATAACATATTCAGCTTTTTCTGCATTTTCAGCTAAATTCAGCAACAAATGTACACAGTTTACAGCATTTGCACGCATTTGCAGCAGGAAATGTATTTTCTAGTTGTTAGTAATATACTGTATCAGCAGATTAATGAAAATACTATTAAATACTACCTCTTAAATGGAATATTTATTTTGAGAATGAATTAGTGTGTGTGTGTGTGTGTGTGTGTGTGTGTGTGTGTGTGTGTGTGTGTGTGTGTGTGTGTGTGTGTGTGTGTGTGTGTGTGTGTGTGCGTGAATAACAACCCCCTCTAATGTGGCTAGTGCTCTGCAGCCATGTCAGTAAATGACTAGGACCAAAGTCCAACATCACATGACGACAATAATTCAGGAAGTGACTTTTAAGGAACTTGTGGAAAGTGTATTAAATCACTGTGTAAAAAAGGTAGAAACAATCTGCTTCTCTTACTTTCACTTCTGTCTCTTTATTGTTTAAATTGTCTATGTGTTATGTCCCACTCTGATCCCCCTTGTGCATGTTTATTTCCCTATCCCTAGCATCTAGTTTTCATTTCCCTTTTTTTAGGAGTGTGTGTTGATAATTTTTTCTCTCAGTGTTTGTCCTTTATCACCCGATCCCAGTTTGATCTTTGTAAATTAGATCAGGAGAGATAGAACACAATGGTAATCCGTTTGTTTGCCCTTCATTAGGATCCTGTGTTTATTTAGTTTGATATATCAGTATATTGGACGTATATGTGTATGTGTATATATCTTTTTGTATGAATGTGTGTGCATGTAGGTGTGTGTTTTAGACATGGGGATCAGCGTTGTGTTGGGTCTGATGCTGGCAGCCAGTGTGACACCTGTGTTTGCTGCAGCACAGGTACGTTTAATTGGATATCTTTTTTAATTGAATTCAGTCTTTTGATGAATGTCACAAAGAGAGTAGTGTTCTCTTTTAAAAAACATAGAAAACACGCTACGTATTTTTTAAATGTCACATTTTTTCTACAATTATTTTTCTTTTCTCCGTGAACACAGACAAAAAAAATGTAGATCTTACTTTAAAAATGGATCCCCAGAATATGTTTTCATACTTGCTTCTTTGTGCTTCTGTACGGTTATGGTAAGCTTGCTAATTCCAACTACTTTAGTGCAGTGCCCATTTAATTAGTGCTATTGCTTACTACTTTGACTATCTTTTGGAGACTCTTGAAAAATAAACGTTGTCAAAGTCTGCCATTACATTTAGAAAAAAGGTTAGTTAAATTATGAAATTGCTCCATAATCCACTGAAAGGTTTTCTGCAATTAACCAAATACTTACTCAAAAAAAAAGTAGAGTAGTTTAATGCTGCCTGTTTCCAGATATTACACTGCAAGCATGAGTCGTGTCAAACATCATGCCCCAAGCAAACACCTGTTTGTGGCGGATATAAAAGTGCTTTACAGAGGAAAATGCTGCTACAGAAAGCATGTTTCCTGTACCTGTAGCTTGGATGGTTTCCACTAGGCCACATGTTTTGTTCTCCTTCCTGTTATCATGTATTTCCTTGTTATCTTTTAATATAAACCTTTCCTCTTCATCTTTGACTTGTTAACCATTTGTATTTTATAAATGATGGCCTGTGTCCACATAGCCTTTTCTGAGGGCCAGCATCTTTTTGCAATTGTTACCAATAAGGATCTATCCCATGCGGCCACCTCGAGAAAAAAATATTTCCGCGCTTCAAGTTAAAAAATATTTCAAGTTTTCAGAGAAGCACTGGTGAGGTCACTGTAAAAATTAGAAGAGAAGCTTATTTTTTGGCAATGTCTTTCGAGGGAAACTATCAAAACAAATCCATTCGAGAGCCAGAATCGTCCGGTTGGTCTTCATGGTGAAAAAACATAAAAAAATATATGTAAGTAGTTGATTTGACGCTGAGAATATATACAGTAGATGCTATGTGGACACAGGGCCTTCGGTCAGATATAGCTATTTCAATGGAATTGGATTGCTAGGCAACAGTTGGGGTCCATAGCTACTTCCTGTGAGCTGATGTAACTCACAACTATAACGGGAAATAAATTGGGACACATTTAGAAGGTTCATGTTTATAACTTTGAAAGGGTCCATTACTGTTCACTGCTTATAATATTACACACAGTATCTTTATATGTGCACTCCAGCCAGGTATCATAGAGAGCCTCCTATTGGCCGCCCACCAGCGTCCCTGGCTCTGGGGGGTGTATGTCTTCACTGTTGGGCTTCCAGCCGTTCTCTTCGTCAGCTTCATGTGGCCTGACAAGGTAAAATACGCTTTTTTATTCACATGTGTGTGTAGATTTGTGTGCCTAATTGTCCAATACTGAATGTGTCAGATTATGACGCTTCAAGTGCCCCTTTAGCATCTATTTTGGACGTGTAAGGGCAACCTCGAGGGGTGTTACAGAAATGTAATTATGACGGTGTGATGAGTCAGACTCTTTTTAAAGTAATGGTTCCTTTGAGTTGATACTTGTCAAATAATGGAACCTTTTGAGTTTTGCTGATTCTTGCATAATATGAAGCCATTTTCTCTGTGAGTCCGTTATGGTACATGCCAATTGAAATGCTAGGGCTGACAATCTCATAAAACTTCCCTTCGAGGCATTACCAGCTATACTATACTATACATACTTAACATAAATAAAGATAGACCATTCGAAGGTACATACCGGACAGTAAAAAGAGTTATCCGAAAAATGTGTTTGGTCATTTTGGTACATCAGGTCCTAGGTCCTAGTGGTTGAAGGGTCAAACAAACCACAGGACAGTCCATTTTGACTAATCATCAGGATCTTAGTTTTGGTTTCCTGTTTTATTTTGAAATGTATTTTGTCCTTTTGAATGTTGTCTTGTTTTACTTCCTGTCTGTGTTTTCCCTCCTGTTTGATTGTCCAATTATTTTTCACCTGCTTCCACTTTTCTTTTCCGGCTGTGTCTTGTCTTGGTGATTAGTCTTGGGTGTATTTATCTTCCCAAGTGTTCTCTGTCAGTTCGTCTTCATTGTGTCCTCTGTTTGGTTCTTCGTTTCTTGTCTGTTTCATTCAGAATGTCCCTCGTCTTCACTCCTGGGTCCTCCAAGTCTTCCCTGTTTGTTCATCTTTTTGGTTGCCACTTTTCCTTGTGTTTGACTCTGCCTACTCCTCCAGTTTTTTAATAAATCTGTCTTTTCGTTTATTCTTTGATAACCGCCTCTCTTTACTCTGCATTTGGGTCCTTGTTCCCTTCCCCTGTGACCCTCATTTTAAGAAAGACACGTAAGTGAACTAATGCTACGTACGTAACCTAAATATTTGTAATTGAATTTAGGTAGCTGTATTGCTTAAAATGTGTGTTTGCTACCTTTTGTGAACCTAACCAAGTTTGACTAACAAATCATCAACCACATATTTAAAAATAACGTTGAAATACGGCACTAAAGAAGTACCCAGTGCTTTAAGAATTAACAACAAAGGGTTGTGACCAAGCGTATGTGAAGATTTTGGAGTGACAACATGATGAACGTCCTGCAAAATAACTCTACAATGTGTTTGAGTGTGATTTGGTCCTCTAGAGAAAAAGCGCAGCTACTTTATGAGAAGCTACATCATGTTTTTGTTTGCATGTAGAGATTTGGACCACCAGATCAAGAGTACTACTATAAGAAGTCTGATGACACTCAACCAGATGATCCTGAGTTCTCAAAGCAGACAGACGCAGTGGATATCAAAGGTAATGTCTTATTATTGGATTACTACAAGTAGGTATTTTTACTCCAGGAGGGGGAATTTTTAGTAGTAATGTCTTCTGCTCTCTGTAGGAACGGCTGACAGAGCTAGAGGAAGAAGGAGAGATACTCATGGTAACACGAGGAAGGGTGACCTAGACCTAAAGGTGAGATTCAACAGACAATAAGAAGGTGATAATGAGTGAAAAAGTAATTTTTAATGTTATTTGAAAAGGTGCAGAAGCCTATTTCAAACATATCTCAAATAATGTATGCACTGTAATTTCCCCACGTAAACATAACAGTCTGCATTTAAATGGTTGTCTCCTGTGTGCTCCACTTCCTCCATGGCGCACCGGTAACTTTCTCAACCAAAAAAAGAAAAAAGTCGGGATAACAGGTTAGTTTCTCGTGCTCTCGAAACTAACCTGTTATCCCGACTTCTTTTTTTTTCTCTTTTTTATTTTTTTTCCCATGTCCCTTTAGAGGCTCTGTTCTTTCATGATACACACACGTTTTGTTTAGCATAATCTCCACATATCAACACCACTTAAGCGTAAATGCAATCACCAGAAGTAAAAAGCTAAGGCTATAAACAAACTACATCACGTTTGCATGGCTACACATAACCACTGCTAACCTAAAGGCGGTCTCATGTCACTTGTAAGCAACGGCCGTTTTTCTGACACATAGATAACAAGCTTGTGTTAAGCATAGACCTTATTTCACCATAAACATTTTCAAAAGCTGTTGACATCGAGACCAGGGAACGGAGGCTATAAAAGGTTATGTGACGACTTGTTTCTGCACCACTCTATTGAAGTGAGAGTGTTATGTACTGATGTCAAATGTGATGTTGCCCTTTTTCATATGCAATGAGTGTGCGTCCTGCGGTGGGGGAATGGAGAGAGGAGGATGGTCTCCTGCTATCACTGGGGACTCTAACACCTGGAACGTTCAGCTCCTGCAATGGGAAGCAGCTATATCTTAAGCTGGCGTAAAGGTGCTAAAACCTCAGTTTCTCTCGCAGGCGTCAGAGAGACGACGAGGTGGACAGATGTGTTTGGCTTGGGTTTTTCCCCTCAGGGCAGCTGGCGGATCCTGTATAAATCTCCGGTTGAGAAACGGATGGCTGACATCCAATGGAGAATTATGCATGGAGCAATAGCCACTAATAAATACAGAGCTCATTTTGATCCAGGCACAAGGGGGGGCTGTCCGTTCTGTTTTATAGCAGAAACATTGGAACATTTAGTCCTGTCCCCGATTGGCTGGTCTTAAAAATATTGTTACAGGAGTGGGTGGAAGGGTTGGGGGAGGTTTTCTCCATACTACTTTTTGTCCATGGCCCCAAATACACCCTGAACAATAAGGAAACTCTAGTACCAATACATTTCTTGTTTTCTAATGCAAAATTAGTGATCTGGAAAAGTAGAAAAAACCAACTTGCTGGAGTGGGATGGACGGATGCAGTGCTCTGTCTGAGGGTGGAGCAATGAGCATGCATACTATACGCTGATCAACCATCTGCAGGGGTTTCTGGATGTGTGGGCTGTTGGGCAGGTTCTGTGCTCACTGGGGGAGAATGACTCCCTGTTATTGAAATTTTAAAAGATAGGTGTAGTTTTTGTTTTTAAAGTGTGTAAAGGAGGATGTTTTTAAATGGGTAAAATGTTTCAAATGATATTTAATTGGTAGTCGTGAAAATCTGGTTATTTATTTGAAATTGTAATGTTTTTAGGTTTTTTCCACTTCTTTGCGGGGTGTGTGTATAGTTAAAACAAATGCAAATAAAATTAGTTTTAAAAATCAAAATCATATGCAATAAACCAACTTTTATTACCGATTTATAATTCCCAAAACCATTATCTTTTCTTTAAAAACAAACAAGTTATGATGTTGCCTGAACATAACTACGTTTTAAAATGGTATTCCACAATACAAAATATGTCAGTGAATGCCTCAATTGTTTTAACCGGTAATTTACTCTTGTTGCTGCTAACAAAATCTAATTTCATATGTTTGTGTGCGTTGTGTCCTACACAACGTAGGATCATTGATAAGTGCAATCTGAGGAAAGCACCACCGCTACATAAGAGGAGGCTCGGCAATCACATCTTTGTCAAGTCATATTTAAATTTGTGAAAATATGTCCTAGGAGTGATTGTATTATTATTTTCTTGAGAAGGTATGTCATGTCAGTCCACTTGTAAATGTTTTTACATATGAAATAAAGACAAAATGTATAATGTATTATTTGTATTATTATTATTACTCATATTGCCATTGAGAGTATTATTCCTAGTGAGCACACTGCTGGAAAATGTGAAAGAAGTTGACCACCTTAAGAGTATTATTTCAGAATAAATTGGTTGTTGAATAATACACGTCTTATTATCTCAGGTCAGGTGTTTGACTGCGTATAATACTGTTGCCACCACCTAAATGTAATTCATTTTTTTATTCACAGGTTTAAAAACTAGAAGGGCAATCATAAAACATAATAAAGATATGTGAAATTGGACACTAAACAAAGCTTGAGAATAGAGGCCCAGATACTTAATACAAAGTATTAAAAACGTTTAATGTATTATACAGAAATATTACAAGCTAATAAAAACCTCAAATGCCATAAAGTCCAACCCTAACCACTAATTCATTCCAAAACATTAATTTAAATGTGTTTAAAATAGGTAATAAATATATACCCCTTTTCCACCAAACCAGTTCCAGTTCTAGCTCCGTGCTTCTGCTTTTCCGGTTCCAAACTGGTTCTTCTTTATAGCCCCAGTTGTGTTTCCACCGCCCAGAGCCCGACTGCGTCATTACATCACCCTTTACGTCGCTGATTTTCTCCCCTGTAGTGGTGAAGTGACGAGTCCTAAAACTCGGAAGTGAAATAGCATTTTACCACTACCGGTTCTCTCGTCTCAGAGCCAATGGGATTTCTCCATAGGATTTTGTAAAATAGCTCGAAATAAGATCTGTGGAAAACGAACCTGTTTGATAAATGCACGTTTTGTTCAGCCGGATAATATCCACATGTCTACCCTACTTTTATAATTTTCTAATCATAAATCTAATCGCCAGAAGCAGAAGGCTAATGTTATGCTATAAACGAACTACAGCCGAGTACAGCAGGGTCGCACGACTTCAACGTCACGCCAACTTAAAATCGATATTCAAAAATACAGATTCAAAATTGTACAGTTGAAGCGTTTGTTTTAACAGTTTGTAAGAGCGCAGGTACTTGCTTTCAAGCAGAACAGGGCAAACAAACTTAGCGGGAGTGTTTACAGGTTAGGCGTAATGACGTACAACGGCCTCGACAACTTCTGCAGTCCTATTCAGCCACTTGTTAACAACCATCGTTTTTCAGACACGTAAACTCTTCAAAAATCACCAGTGGGGTCACTGCTGATGTATTTAATGTCGTAGAACAAAATGTGATCCGTCTCTTAAATTTGTGTCAACCACAGACCTTATTTTGAGCTATTTTCCCAAATCCTATGGAGAAATCCCATTGACTCTGAGACGAGGGAACCGGTAGTGGTAAAATGCTAACTCACTTCCTGGTTTTAGGAATCGTCACTGCACCACTCAATGCCGCTCACAACAACAACCATGGGGGACTGCGTCAGGCCATCAATTTTGACTCAATTTAGAGAGCATTTAAGAACCTTTTACAGAAAACATGTCTCAAACTTTTCAGGTAGAGAAAAAATACATAATCTCAAGCCAGACCGCTAACTCCCTAGTATTGTCGACAAAACGTGCACAGGATTACCAAAGAGGCTAAATGTTTTTCAGCTAATGAGAAAGAGAGTGGTTTCCTTTTGCAGACGTTTTAATGCCAGTAATGCAGACGCACGGCCAGATGGTTTCTGTCAAGATCCTCCTATCACATCTTGTAGGAAAAGCTCAAAGAAAGAGCAACCCATGACTTCCATTGCTGACAATTCAAATCTAGGAAAGTCCGAGGGCCTGGGCTGCAGATCTTTTGTAAAAGAAGCAGGTAG